TGCAATATTAGTGGACTCAGACAAAGGCAAACGTCCCAGGGCAGTTGACAATTTTTCAGTGTAGAAAAAAAGACAATGGAACTAACATTTGGCTGTTCTCAGTTCCTGCTATTATGATGCAAATGACTGGGTGAAATATATTGATTGGGTTAATGCAATTGAGCTACCAGTTTCTATGAGTCTATCAAATGAATAAATAAGCCACTTCATAGTACCTATACTTTCTGTTAAATGTCCTAATCACACACTATGTGTTATATGCTGTGTAAAACTTGTTACAGAAGCCTTATGTGCAGTTTACAGCTTTGACGCTAGAGTTTCATAAGAGCTCCACAGTTTACTCTCACCGTCTTATGCTGCAGTAAACTTTGTAAATATTGATTCTACTTAATAAGTGTTGTATACTTATCTACTGATACTCATTTCTTTGTGTAACAAGTGTGTTCTGTTTAGGTGAAATATAAACAATACTGTCACTTTAGGTTTTAATGACCTAAGAGCAATAGTTCCAAAACCTTAAAGTAAACAATTTTTTTACCTTTTGCAGTTTTATTATTATTATTTAAAAAAAATTGCTAAATTATTATTATTAAAAAAAAAATTAATTATTTTTTATTCATTTACAGATAGACACAATAAAATATTCAAAAATTGATCAAATTTGACAGCAGAAAGTGAAAAAGTAGTCAAATTTGCAATTAAAGGGATCGTCCATAATGTATGTCATCCTATATTTGTAAATTTTTTAACCTCTTTCCTCCTGTCATAAACGATCACGTATACCTGCACCTCCTCTCCCTGCACCTCCTCTCCCTTTTAAACTGTGATAGCAGTTTTTAAGTTTAATTTTTTTTAAGTTTTTTTTTTAAGTTTTTAATTTCAAAAGAATTAAATGCAAATATTTTGCAAATATTTTAAAAAGTTCAACTTAATAAAAGTAAGACAATACGTATAAACATTAAAAGTGTAAGTAATATTTTAGACAAAAAAAAAAAATTAATGACTTAATAGGTGAATAAAAAAAAGCAATTGCATATTTTTATTCACCCAGCCTAATGAGTAATAATAAAGTTTTCATACTAAAGTAATTTTTTAAAGTTGCTCTTGGTCACGAAGATAAAACTGTTTCGATATGATAAGTGATCATCCATATATTACACAACACTAAAATTTGGCTAAAATTATTTTTTTAAATGGAGTTGGAAATCTTAAGCTCTTTTGCGTGGCAATTTTAATTAAACTTAATGGGCTGTTTTAATTTATTATATGACTTAAGGTTCTGCATAGGAAAACTTTTATTCTTATTTGTTTTGTTTATTGATAAAATTGTTACATTATTCATGGACGATCCCTAACTTCCATAAATGTTATAAAAGATCACTCAGGAAGAGTGGCACAGTGTTGCTTTTTAAATTTGCCTTTGGTAATTACTTTTGATAAATGAGTTCAATACCTTTGCAAATTTTTTGTTACATAACTCTAAAAATTTTAACTCTTTTTAGGGTTGGCAAAATTTTGGGTAGCATTGAATTTTGTGCAAATAGCCTTTGCTATCAAAAAAATCACACTCTTTGTAATTTTTTACCAGTATTGTTTCCCCTTTAATTTAATACAATACTTTTTCATCTAGTTACAGTTTATACCATCTCAATAGTCCAAATATTTATAATAAAAAAGATGTTTTAGATTGCTATACTATGGTTTTCAACATAAAATGAAAAAACTTGAATCTTTTCATATTAAACTCTTAATCTTAGCTGTACAATAATAAAACTTCTTTAAAAAAATTACTAATCGTCACCCATTTTTACCAAATATGTTTAGAATGGTAAGAGAAAAAAAAAAAAAATTTACAAATCAATATTTTTTTTATATAAAAAAAGTTCTGCACAAATTATTGAAAGTATCAAATTTCATGAAATCTGCCTGAAATTAAATTCTTCAGTATTAAATTTTAGCATTTTTCTATTTTTATTTAATGACATAGAAAGTGCTTTTTGTCGTTTTAGATAAATTAAAATGCAAACTTA